ACCACAGCGTAACTCTATTATGGGCTCCTAGGCTATTCAGAAGAGTTTTACAACTGTCCACAAGCCTTGATGTCGTTTTAAATGAGTCTAAGGCCCTTAGTGCTGCCTGGCTATCCGACATAATATTTATTCTGGCCCCGTTTGTCCTTCTCCGAAGACATTCTCGAACACAGACTTCGATTGCGAAGATCTCCGCCTGGAATATGGTTGGGTATGAGCCCATTGGCAGACTTTTCTGGAACCTTGGTCCAAGCACGCCTGCCCCAGTACTCCCGACTTCCATCTTTGATCCATCGGTATACCATACTTGGGACCCTTTGTCAATCATAGATATTATCGCTTTACAGCAGTCCCTTTCAAGAATTCTGACCTTGTAGGGCTTATCAAAGGATAATTTCGGTAGCATGATATCTGTGAGCTTGATAGCGGGATCATCCAGAAAAGGCTTGAGAACCTCCAAGTGACCCCAAAGATCTCCACTCTTCATGCTGATTACATTGGGCAGCCGTATGGAGCTCCAGCAGGCTTCCTTTTCTATCAGAATCGATAGAGGAGGAATGCCTGTAATTATCCGTTGGACAGGTGCGCATAGCTCCTGTGATGGCCACACAGATAAAGCGGTGTAGCTTGCTCAAGGTGGCACACGCACTTGCTTTCTTTGCTTTTGGCCACCAGGCCAGTGCCGCATATGTGACAACAGGTTTCACGACCGTATTGAAAGACCAATACGTTAGTTTGGGTGATATTCCCCAAGTTTTACCATGGAGTCTCTGGCAGGCATAAAACGCCCTTGTAGCCTTGTTGGTAATGTTGAGGAGATGTGAGTTCCAATTGAGCCTTTTGTCCAGAGTTACCCCTAGATACTTCGCCTCTTCTGAGAACTCAATTTCTGTCCCTGCCAAAGTGGGTTTAGTCAAGTTGACTTTCCTTCTATTGGTAAATGAGACAACGGTGGACTTCTGCGGGTTTATTGACAATCCCTTTGAAGCACACCAGTCTTCCGTTAGACTGAGCGCAGCTTGCAATCTGGAACAAATTGTGTCCTCATGCCAGCCGACAACGTAGATGACTAGGTCATCTGCATATCCATATGCCTTGAATCCATTGCCATTTAGCTTTTCAAGAAGTTCGTCAACAACCAGTGTCCAAAGTAGGGGCGATAAGACTCCCCCTTGAGGACAGCCACGGGTGGCATTTACTGCTTGCCTGTTGTCTCCTAGTTCCGCTATTATGGTTCTGGACCTCAACATGCTTATGATCCAATCCGTTAGAAGGACAGGAATATCCTTTCGTATCATAGCTGTCGATATTGCTTCCTAAGACGTATTGTCGAAAGCACCTGATATGTCCAGGAATGCACACAAAGCTATCTGTTTATACCGCAATGCCTTTTCAATGACTTGAGTTAGGCTATGTATTGCAGTAATAGTAGATTTGCCTGCCTGGTATGCGTGCTGACTCTGACACAGAGGCTTATTCCTGAGAAAGTTATCCCTTATGTGAAAGTCAATAAGTTTTTCTAGTGTCTTTACTAGAAAGGAACTGAGGCTAATTGGCCTATACGCCTTTGGGAGTTGTGCCGAGTTTTTCCCCACTTTGGGTATAAAGACCACTTTGACTTCACTCCATGTTGTTGGTATGTGAGCAAGTAAGAGACTTGCTCTCAGCAATCTGACTAGTGGCCCAGATATTAAGCCCAAGCTCTGCTGCAGCAGGCATGGGTAGATACCATCTGGACCAGGGGATTTATATGCACTAAAGGTTGAAATGGCCCACGATATCTTTTCCACACTGACGATTCTTCCTGCTAGGCCTCTAGTCCTCCTGTTTGCGCACACAGCGTTCGCCGTGTTTGTCGAAAGACATGTGCCTTGTGGAATACATCCCGGGAAGTGGGTTTCTAGCAGAAGCCTGCTGGTTTCTTCCGGGGTGCCAGTGTAGGTACCATCTGGTCTTTTCAAAGTGCATAGGACTTTCAGATGATCTAGTTTAAGGGCCTTCTGAAGGCGATGCACCTCTCGAAGAGAGGAAATACTTCCGCAGTGCTCACGCCACGTAGCCCTTTTAGACCTTCTGAGCTCACAGTTGTAAGCGGTTAGGGCTGACTTGTAGGCGGTCCAGTCACCTGTTGACTTTGCCCTATTGAAAAGTTTCCTGGCTCTTTTCCTTAGTTTTCCGAGAGAATCGCTCCACCAAGGGACATCCCTTTGAGACTTCTTGGTTCTCAGTGGGCAGCTCTCTTCAAAACCTTGTTTAAGAACATCTTGGAACTTTCTCGCCTCGTCCTCAAGTTCATAGACGGATGAAATTGGTGCCGTAGAACCATTCACTTCCCGCTCTATGTGGAGGCGAAAGAGTTCCCAGTTTGTTTTTCTGGGATTTCTGTAAACATGGTTTGTTACTCTTTGGGCTTCTATATCGAATCGAATATGCCGGTGGTCCGACATAGATACCTCATTTGAGACATGCCAGTTTGAGATAAAGGTCGACAAGCTAGTTGAGGAAATTGTCAAGTCTAGAACCTCCCCTCTTATAGCATTGACAAAGGTCGGCTCATTACCCCGGTTAAGAATAAATAAATTGTTCTTAGTGATAAATTCAAGAAATGACTCACCTCTAGAATTGGTGTCCGAGCTACCCCAAACACAGTGATGGGCATTGGCGTCACAGCTCATTACTAGTTTCAGCTTTCTCCTTCTGCAGTACTCCTCTAGGGCTATTACTTCCCTTGTGGGCATCTCACAGCTGTCGCCTGGGAGGTAAGCTGAAGCGAGAACGACCTCTTGTTCTCCCATTTGAGTGGGCACTTTAGTCCATACAGCAGCTAAGTCCTGTTGTGTCAACTCTGAAATGGGAACAACAGTCATGTTATTACGTAGTAATATGGCCGCTCTGGGCCTGCAGTGTGTGGTATCGTAAATTATCTTACCATCACAGTCGTTTAGGCCTTTAATAGCCCCGGCGAAAACCCAGGGTTCTTGGATGAATGCGACATCCAAGAGTTCTGTTTTGAACCTCCTGCATAAGACGTCAGAGGCCGCCTTTGCATGATGGAGGTTCACTTGCAGGCACTTGATGTGCCTAGGCCTATCGCTTGGGGGGTTTGCCATTTTTCGGCCTTGAAGCCCGCTTGGCCATCTTTTTCCCCCTATTGGTGGCCATCAGGGTCTTCTCCTCCATTGAAATCTCCCCTCGACCTTGTCTCCGATTCGCATTTAGCGGAGGACGGAAGGGATTTTGGGCGAAAGGGGCCTTTGATTTCTCTGGGCTGGAAGGTACCCTCTTTTCCGTGCCAGGAGTGTCTTCTGAGCAGCAGGGCCGCTCTATGGACTCCTGGACAGGTGCTTTTTCCTTCTCCGCTGCCCCTGACTGCTCTGAAGGTAACCTTTGCAGTCCCTTGGGTACGTCCTTGGAACCGCAAGGTCCCTCTTTGAAGCACGCACTTTGTGCAGTGGAGGAGGCACTGGCTATAGCAGGCTGTGTACCCTTCGGGTCTGACGACTCAGTCGTCTTCCCTTTTTTATGGATGCGCACCCTGCCATATCCATAATTGACTAGGTATCCCAGCCTGTCGAGTGTCTCCGCTGAGTGCGGGTCAACCGCTAGAGTGAGCTCAGTGGTGGGTCCCTTCTGTACCCTGTTGAGCACCCTCCAGCTACCTACCCGCAGCCCTTCGTTCTGACCCTCGACAAGGCCAAGGATACTGTCCACTGGAGTGGTTGATGGCTCCGGAAAGTACCCAACGTATACACTGGGTTTGGGCACGTCAGTGGCATTCATTGCCACAATTTCCGCGCCCTTCCAAGGCTTCAGGGTTTGGGATACCTTGCGCAGCCATTCCAGCGTTTCAGCGTCTCCGCAGCCAATGGACATCCATCCCGGACGGAAGGTGCAACCGCTAAACTTGGGCTTCACAGAGCCCTTTCGCTGCCGCCTCACCTCCTCCAGGATGGCCGTCTGAATGGCCTGTAGTTGGTCTAAGGACCAAAGTGCCTTACGGTACCCTTTGGGGAGTAACCCTATTACCAATGTCCGCCTGACAGGTCGGCGCCTTTGTGACATCGGCAAAAGTTGCCTTAACACTAGGTTGCTTTGGTCCCATATGGGCCCTTTTGTCAGCTGGACCTGGTTTCCGTTTGGGAGAGTTCTCCACCGGGGAAGAAATGAGGTTGACCGATCGGTTCCTCTTAAGCTTTGTGCCAGCCAGCAGAGCCAGTTCGGCTTTTCCTTTTGCCATCGGAATAATGGCTAGCCGTTTGGCCTCTGGAGAGGTAGAATTTGTAGCGCTTTTTACCTGCTCCAGAGAGTTTTCTTTTAGGAGTACTAGCTTCCTCCTGCTGTGACGATAAGAGCGCCTCCTCCTCGACTGTGGGTATTTTGATGTCGTTGCCATTTGAACCAGAGTCCATTTTGGCAGTATCGACATCCATGGCCACCGGGTTGCTGAGAAGGCCGTTTGGATCAAAGTCCATTTCGTCCATTACAGCGTCCCGAGAGGGTTGAGCGCCTTGGCCGTTTGGATTTGCACCCAGTTCGTCCGCCGCAATCGCCATTTGTTCAGCAATCTCGTTGGGCATCGCGTGCCCCTCTGAGACTGCTGACTGTTGCCCACTGTTAGAGGGCACAGAGCTTTTATTGTTTTTTTTTTATTAATTTGTTTTACTTCCATAGAATCCCACGAGTAAGGGGGAAGAGAGAGGTCATCCGAGGCCCCGGTACCCCGGAAAGACTAAATAAAACCAGACGGCGCCACGTGACTGGAGTACACCGTAAAAAGACACACTAACGTAGTGCCATTCAGTCCGCAGGCACGGTCCGATTAACACCTGGACTTACGGATTTTATCGAGTTGTTCTCTCTAGATCCGCCATATTCAGTAAAAAGCAGGGGCACCTCTCGCAGGGTGTGACTCTTCGCCACGTATGGTCGGTCTTGAGCCATCGACAGCCCCTGATCCAGAGCACTGCATCACGTGTGATAACAGCACCAAGAACCTTGACCCCCTGAATACAAAGTAACATTTGAACATAATATTCCTCCGACTTCATCAGGTGAACATGGCCGACGTCCTACCAAGTTAGAAGAATACAAAAAAAAAATAAATGCGCCTGGGCCACACTAGAGAAATGAAACTTACGTTACTTATCTATTTTGTTTCATAACCAATGTATACATACACACATCTGCTTTTGCTTAAGGTTATATTTTTTCTCTTTTTTCTATCTACATCCCTACCTCTACCCCTGTTCGTTTTATTAACATACATGTTGTTCTATTTTTCCATTATATTCTTTTTTATCTTTATACACTATCGATAATAACGTCCAACAAAATATCGATAACAACACCGATAGATAGATAAAAATCGATATCAAACTCGACGACAAATTCGATAAAAGTTTCAACGGCAACATCGACAATACCATTCGTAGCAAAGTCGATTAGAAAATCGATAACTAAATCGACAAATATCGATAAAAAAAACGAAAAATATCGATAGCTAAATCGATTAATGTCGATAACAAAATCGATAAATATCGATAACAAAATCGATAAATATCGATAACAAAATCGATAAATTCGACAAAAAAATCGATAAGTATCGATAACCAAATCGATAAATATCGATAAGAAAATCTATAAATATCGATAAAAAATCGATAAATATCGATAACAAAATCGATATATATCGAAAACCAAATCGACAAATATCGATAACAAAGACGACAAATATCGATAACATAATTGATAAATATCAACAAAATCGCTAAGTATCGATAACGAAATCGATAAAATCGGTAACCAAATCGATAAAAATATCGCTTACAATAGTTAAAAATATCGATTATAAAATCGATAACAAATCGATAAAAATATCGATAACAAAATCGATAAAAATATCGATAACAAAACCGATAAAAATATGGGTTATTTTATCGATAAGTCTCGAGAATCCCGAAAATTTTTAAAATCCCACAATAGTTCCCAGATTGAGTCTCCCTTTATATCTTTTCCTCTTCAATTACCTTTATTTTAATCTTTCTCCCCTATCTTCGTCTTTACTTTTATCGGTATCCTTTTACGTTTATCATTTTCTTCATCTACATATTCCCCTTCACCTTTGCCCTTATATATATAAGTAAAGTGTTTAAATTTACTTTGATCTTCATTTTTGCCTTTATCTTTACGCATCTTTGGTTTTGGTTTTATTTTTACCTTTGCCTTTATCCTTTTCTTTATCTATGTACGTACTCACCTTTACTTTCATTCTTGTATTAGTATTTTTCTAAGTTTTATTCTTTAAGCTTTTATTAGCAATTTTTTGTTAAATTAATACCATACACTCAAGAAGCACTTGTTTCAGCCCCAATAATTTCCGCTGCATCATTTCCGTTGCACCATTTCCGTGTGCAATTTCTGTTGAATTTGCCAATTTACTCCCAACCAACCAACCGCCGCTAAAGAAGTTTCACTTCAAAAAAAACGAAAAAATGTGGGGCTCGTACAAGAATACGGATTAGAGTTTATACTTAACGCTTATATCCACTTCAGACGGTATATTGGCGAATCTGATTTAGCCCAAGAAAGACAAACAGGAAGTTTTTAAGAAGATGACATATAATACAGGTCGGTTCTTATACATAGTACATGTGTTGATTTGGAATTAAAGAAATGTCAATACGGATTATTAA